GTCACAGTATTGGGAAGCCGACACACACAGCCCTGAGGTTGCACTACCACTACTATTCTCGACATGGAAGTTTCTTACCATCTTGACCTTAGACAAACTAAGTTCCTCCCAAGCTCTCCATTTATGTCTTTTTGCATCATCTGGCTCAAATTTTCTGCTCTTTTACTATTCCCCCAGCTTGCTGACATTTTTACAGTGGGTATAACCTTATTATTTGATTACTAGTCACTCAACATAAATGATGGGCTTTTCATTTCATCCATGTGGCTCGACGTGTGACATTAGTTTTTAAACATTCTCACCACTAACTTCTGATAGCTGACTTCACAACACGTTTCTAGGTGTATGCCCAACTGACTGATGGTCAGGGTATCACCACTCACCGTGAGGATCAGCCAAGGTTTTCCTCTGTGGTGCCCACCGACAAGAACATAGGTCTCGGTCCCCCCATTCTGTTTATGCTTATCGTGTTTCATGCAATTTCCATTTTACACAGTGACTATGGTTTTCATTTGTTCTAATTAAATAGTAGCAAATGTTCAGTTCAATGGGTTCTTCATATAAACAGACGCAAATAGCTTCCTCCTCCCTCCCCCAAGTAAGGCAGAAAACAGATGCAAGCTCAGGCTGTTGTGTTAAAGACCACATTTGTGTGACTGAACTGGGAACAGATGCCCTGGGACAGCTGAGTGCTGGGTTCCTTGGGAGCAGGGATTACTATGGTCTGCTGTACAGTCCTGGTCCTGTTTGAGCAGTCCTCTGTTTGAGCAGAGGATGGGACCCTTTTTCACTCCACCTGTGACCTTCCATCCCCTCCTGAATTCAGGGAGCCCGTAGAAGTCTCCCCTGGAAGTAACAAATGGAGCTCACAGCTAGGGACAGGTGCATTTGTAGTCCTTCTTACTCTCTTAGAGTGCTTGCCTTTGTTGATGTCTGGTCCTCCCTGGATGGGACCTTCAAAGAGCCCTGTTAGAGACAACTGGGATAACGACGAAGATTTAGAAGTTAGGAGGATATGTGGAATACACACAAGGGAGGGGAAGATGTGGACCCAAGTTTTTAACTCATTTGAATAAATACCAAAGGAGTATGATTGCTGGGTCATAGAGTATCTATTGTGTGTTTTTTTTTTGTTTTTTTTTTTTTAAGAAACTGACAATCTGCTTTCCAAAATGCCTGTGCCATTTGCATTCCTGACAACAATGAGGGAGACTGGCCGATGTTCCACGTCCTTCCCAGCATCTGGTGTTGTCAGCATCTTGGGTCTGAGTCATCGTAGCAGGTGTAAAGTGGCATCTTGTTGTTTTGATTGGCGATTCCCTAGTGACATCTGATAGGCAGCATCTTCTCCTGTGCTTATTTTTCATTTGTGTATCTTCTTTGGTGAGGTGCCTGTTCAGATCTTTTGCCCATCTTTAATTGGGTTGTTTGATTTTTAATTTTTTTGGTGGGTGGTACCCGGGATTGAACTCAGGGGCATGCGACCACTGAGCCACATCCCCAGCCCTATTTTAGTATTTTATTTAGAGACAGGGTCTTCCTGAGTTGCTTAGCACCTCGCTTTTGCTGAGGCTGGCTTTGAACTCACAATCCTCCTGCCTCAGCCTCCTGAGCCGCTGGGATTACAGGCATGTGCCACGGCACCCAGCTGCGTCACCAATTTTTACATGCTATTTTTATACACATATGTGTGGTGGCTTAAAATTATGTGCAAAAATTATTTGGTATTATGTCTTTCAAAATGTAGAGCCCTATTTCTCTTGCCTGGTAAACGGGCTACCCTTAATTGCTTCTAACAAATAGAATAATACAGAAACGATGATTTATGACTCTTGAGAATAGGTCTATCTTGTGGATTTCCAGCTCTGGCAAAAACTCGCTGCTACGTTTTGAATCTACTTAAGCAACCCTATGGACAGGTCCATGGGGCAAGAAACTGAAGGCTCTTGTGAACAGTCAGCAAGGAACTGAGGTTTTCTGCCAACAGCGTGTGAGGGATCGCAAAGCCCCAGTCATGCCTTCAGCTGAAACCTTGACCCTGAACTAGAACTATCCAGCTAACAGCTCCCGGATTCCTGACCTCAGCTCCTGTGTGAGATAATGCTTATTGTTATAGGTTTCTAGGTCTTAGGGTAATTTGTTTGCAACAATAATTAATGCAATGGGTTGATTTCTTCCTGATGATTACTTTTCACTAGTTCTGTTATCATATTATCTCCCCTGCCAAGTCTAATCACTCTCCTCTTGCTCTCTCCATCTCCTGCCCAGTCTGGATGGGTAATTCTCTTGTGTTGTGGTATTTTATAATACATGTGTTGGTGTATCAGGTAGGATGCGTTCCTGAAAGAAAGAAACTCAACTAAAAGTGGCTTATCCTGAAAGTGGATTTCTATTTTTATCTTATGTACCAAGAAGTCCACAGATAAGGTCACCAAGGGTTCGATCAACTGAGTGGCTGAATTATATCAGCAGGGACACAGGTCTTTAAAAGTCTGTTTTTTTAAGCAGGTGCCGTGATGCACATGTATAATCCTGGCTACTCTAATGAAAACTTACTCCTGGAACTGGGGGTTGGGACTGTCTTCCCTGACAATATGGCTTTACGATGGAACATGAGGATTCTGAATAAAATGGGAATTGAATTAAAAGTAAATGCTATTGATAGGCAACCAAAATCATCTACTGGGGTGGGGTTTTATGATCTTTACTGTGATGGAGGCTTAGTGGTGTCTCTTCTAAAAACTAGTAAAGTCTCCTATGCACTGTTGTCTCTCTCCTGTGCTCTTGGTTCTTGTGGATTCCTGCCACGTTGTTCTTTTATTATAATTTTAAAGAGACCTCTGAAGGGAAAAGGGACAAATGTGTGTTTTCAGTCTGTCTTCTTCATTTTGAAATAACTATTAATTATTGCTTCAGTATTGTTTCTCAGACTGCGTATTGTCAACTATTAGTCAGGGAGATCCAGAGTTTTAAAACAATGAAACAGGGTAGAAAATACCAGATTGCATTATTGCAAGATTAAATGTTATTTCATGAAGTGTTTGCTTCAATAGAGCGTGTGTGTGTGTGTGTGTGTGTGTGTGTGTGTGTGTGTGTGTTCTGGGTAGGGATGTATTTCTTGGTATATAGCTGAACTCAAAAAAGTCTTCCTGGGCTTGGTGGTACACACCTGTAACTCTAGCAACTTGGGAGGCTGAGGCAGGAAGATTGCTAAGTTCAAAGCCAGACTCAGCAACTTAGTGAGCTGAAAAGCATTGGGTACGTGGCTCAGTGGTTAAGCATCCCTGGGTTCATTTCCTTGGTCCAAAAAAAAAAAAAAGCCCCAAAATAGTCTCAAAGACCCACACAAGGTAGCAGGCAGGTGGGACTAGGAGCACCTTTTTGAGATTGAAGGTAGAGCTTGACTGAAATCTTCTCCTGAAGTCAGGGCTGGCATCTGATTTTCTGTTGCTATAACTGAATGCCACTGGCTAAGTAATTTATAAAGAATAGAGGTAACTATAGCTCATGGTCTTGAAGGCTGAGAAGCACAATATCAAAGTGTAGTATCTGGTGAGGGTCTTCCTGCTGCTGTGTCATAAAGGGCACGGTCATCCCATGGTGAGGCAGGGCAAGTGTTCTAGCTGGGGTCTCTCTTCCTCTCTTTATAAAACCATCAATGCTACCACGGGGCTCCCATTCTCACAACTTTATCTAATCCTAACTCCCAGCGTCTACACCTCCAAATACTTACAAACACATGAACTTTGGGGGGGCATATTTAAACCACAGCTGCTGGTTCACAAAACGCTCTGCTTCCAGGAGCCACCTGTCCCTCCCGTAAACATCTATGGAAAGATTGCATGATCCAGATGTTCAGAGAGTCACCAAAGAGGAAAGGTTCTGATTTTATGCCGAGTTGCTGGAGCTGCACACTGTAGTAGGATCACAGTTTACTTCCAAGGCTTACGTTAGACCCATCTTGCCTTGGAAAGCTATGTGTACCATCAGAGCCTGGTGTGCACATTTTCCGATGCCTAAAATTTTCAGAAAGCAAAAACATCCTTCTGTGAATGAACATTTTTTTTTGTAACAAAACATGCCTTGGTTAGGAAGCTCTTCCCTCTGTCCGGGTGAGGTCACTGTCAGGTGTTCTGGGGACATGCATGAAACCTGACAACTGACAATCTCTTGGCCATCCGGGTGGCCTAGAGAACTCAGTTTGACAGCTCTTTGCTGTCCCCTGTTGCCTTGGTGTCCTGCCTTTGTGGACAACCCACCCTTGCTTTCATCTTGCTCCTGTTGTTACCTGTGCCTTCTGCAGTTCATTTAAAAAATTATTTCATTAATATCTACTTACTTCCTGTACCATTTTCCCCCTCCTCTTTTTACTTTATCCAGATTTCTTTATCTTCTTTTTCCTTCCTAATGTCCATGTTTTGACCATGTCTCTTTAATTTTTTTTTTAATTTAAAATTTTGTCCTTTGCCCTCTCTGCCCCAGTTCCCCCTCCACCTACCCAATCCCTGCGACCCTGTTTCTTTCCCTGAAGCCTTTGACTTTTTAGTCTCACTGCCAAGGCCTAGACCCAGCAGAAGACACTTTATAGAGTCAGTGGGACAATGGGAGGGAGGTGACTGAGGGACCTTCAGAACTGGGCTACCCAGGAGGCAGGGTTGCCTGGCCATGTCTTGCCCCACACTTTCATCATATGTCACCCATATTAAGTCATAAAGGTCAATCTTAACCAAATCTGTTGGTTACTCAATGGAGAGAGACTAGTACACATCGAGGGTGCCAGGAACAAGATCCAAAAACATCTTGGAAGACATGGAAAGGGGCTGAATCTAATAAGAAAATGTTTCACTTTCTTCGCTTGAGTGGAAAAAGGAATTGCATAAGCCCAGGAACGGGCATATGTGGCCGAGCAGCAAAAAAAAAAAAGGCTTAAAAGGCTTTTAGATAAAAGCAGGGTAAAAAGGAGCCATCAGCAGTTCTGATCCCTCCTCCCCATAAAGCTTAGTTGAGGTTGGGCTTCACCAGACAAGTTCAAAGTCGAAGTTGAGCTGGGCCAATCAGACTCCGCCCCCAAGAGAGAAACAGACACCATCTCTGTTTGTCAAGACCGTCTGAAAGCACTAGGGATGGTTGGTGAGGTGGAAAAGAAAAAGGATGCAATAACTATTCAAATATTGAGGAAGAGAAGTCAGACCCATGGTCCCAAGGAGGAGGACCAAGTTCACTGAAGTTGGACTTCATTTTCCACACAAGGATGCTCTTTGCAGCAGGCAAAATTGTCAAAGATAGACTGAGATGCTTCATGGGGAAATATGCCCTTTTGGGTGGAAAAGTTGGAATGATTTGTGCAGCATTTTGAAAGGAATCCAAGCATTGGATATGTGGTTGAGCAAGGTGTCAGTCATACCCTCTTATGGTCCATACTAATAGTAAACCATGTAATAACTAACATTAACTGAGCACTTATTATTGGCTGGGAACATGGTGCTCCATGCTTTATCTGAGCTACCTAATTCAATCCATACAATAATGCTATGAGATAGTAACTATGATTACTACCATCTCGGGGGTGAGAAAATGGGCTCAGGAAGGTGAAGAATGTGTCCAAAATCATGGAATGAAGAAATTTAGTGTGACTACATAGCACAGTATGATTGGAAACCCAAAACCCTCCCGAGGACATGAAGTCACCCTTCCATTTCAAGTCACTGTATTCTATTTTGCGAGTGCCATAGCTACCTTCAGTTTAGAGGCCTCCTTTTCAAATGAAACCACTTAATTGAACAGGGAGGAGCCAAGATCCTTGGGTCTGGGACTGATGGGGAAGAGGGAAGGCACAGAATTGAGGGTGCTCAGAGGACCCACACCTGGGATGTTGAGCGCAGGTGAAACACTTGGGAATGAGGCTCAACAAACAGCAATGGCTTCCCATAGAAGCTTCAGGCATGGAGACAGACTGATCACCTCCACCTGATCTAGCCAAAGTCACCTGCTACATTCCCTGGTCAAGGCAGAGAGATCTTAGGAGGAGAGAAAATAAAATAAAATGAGACTTGGGGTGGAAAGACGGTGCATACCCCTTCCAGCTCCAGCTCTGGGCTCTTGAGACTTCAACGCTGGTGTTCTGTCACCTGTCACCTTCAGCTGGACACTTTAATCTGCCCAGATCTTTTGCTGCGGAGCCTACTATGCAAAGATCTTCCAATCAGATGGTGCTATGAATCAGGGCTGTCCCAAGGAACTTGCCGGAAGAAATGAACGATAAGATTTCTGCCTCTGGTGACCTGCATTGAGGTACCCCCACTCCCCACCCCGCCCCACCTTTCTGTTCAGCATCTTCAATGCTCTCGTTTGGATGGAATTCTTGGTAAACCAGAAAGAGGTGCTTTGGTGGGAGAAGGGCGGAGGCCAATCAATCCTGGTTGCTCCAGGGTCCTTATAGCCTGGAGCTGCTCTGACAGGGGACTGCCTGACTGGCATTGTCCCGTGAAGGGATGCCACGTTCTTACCTCGCAGGCAAGGCCGGGGCGAGGGCTGGGGGTGGTGCGGGGCACGATCGGGGAGCGTGATACACATGTGTTCAGAGCCTAGCGGCTGGTCTCAGAACTGGGTCACCTCAAAGACGTGCGACGACGATCTGTCCCGATTGCTGGGATCGGATTTCGTCCTTCCTTGTCAAACCCAGCCGTGCCCCAGCTGCTGGCAGCACCAAGGCGCTCCTTTGTCCTCGCGTTCCAGGAGGCGGAGGAGCGAAGTGACACAAAGGGCCTGGCGCCCGAGCTCCCCACCCCGCTCTCTGGGTACCGGATCCTGGCGCTCACAGGGGCCCCGGGCCCCGGGTGTCTCAGGGGCAGGGGGGTGCGGGACCTCTGCGGTTTGGACTTTCCGGCAGGCGCGGGGCTGCAGCCTGACTTGGAGCAGCTCTTCGGATTGGAGGATGCTCCCCCTTCCCCTTCCCCGAATTCTTTGCAGCTTGTTTTTTTTTTTTTTTTTTTTTTTTTTTTTTGCTGACGCTGGAGCCCCAGTGCTTTTGCATTTGGCGACACCCTGTAATTGAAGGCGGGGTGGGGGGGCTGACCCAGAGCCGGATCTGTGCTATGCGACAGGCTCATGCTGCCCTCTAATGGCCCCTGCCTTGTTCGTTTCCAGGCTGGAAGGGGGCAGACTCGCAGGCCAGCCTCTTGGAGGGTCTGCGGGGGTGAATTTCCTTCCTTGTGGGTCAGTGAGCTTTTCCCCTTCCAGCTGCTCCAAGAAGCAATCGCTTCTCTTCGTGGGCAACAGATGTCAGAAGTCAGGCAGTGCTGGTGCGGCTGGAGGAGGGGAAATGGTCCAGCCCTTCTCTGCCTGACCCCAGCGTTTCTTGGCCCATCTCCCCCGTCCGTTTAGGAACAGAAGGGTCATCTTTTCCTTGTCCCTTGCAGCTCCTGACAGCTGGACAGAGGAAAGCACAGCGTGTTGGCAGAGGCGGTGCCTGTCAGCAGGTTTGTGCACACAAAGGGGGGCTTCCTTTTCCTGCCCTGCTGGTGGGGAGGAGTGTGTGTGGGGGGGGGTGGTGGCCACTGTGGATCCACCCCTCAGACTTTCCACTTGGCGCCTGGGGAGCCAACTCCAAAGCCAAACACAAACCTCTAGAAAAAAACATCTGCTGGGTTAATGTTTGAAGAACCTGAAGACACTGGTTGGAAACGGTCCAGTTCTGTTCAGAGGGGAATCTAATCCCACTTAATCAAGGAACAAAGTTCAGAGGTGTGGGAGGCAAGCCTGCGACGTGCTTCTGTTTTGGTAACTGGGAAGCTTTGTCACCAGAATTGATGGGAAGAAGCTGAAAGAGGGACCCATTTTCCTCCTGCAAGCTCAAATCTGGCCAAAGTAGAGCATGGTGCTATGAACGTGCTCCATGGCTGGGCAGGGAACAGGGCAAAAGTGGGTGCTCCTGAGTTTAGACTGTCCCATGTTGTGAAGTTTTTTGGGGAAAAAAACTAAGCATGAAATAGAGTACAGAGTGGACCTCCTTCAGCTTTTCTGAAATTGAGGGCTGGTGGTCACGGAGATTGATGAGGTCATACTGTCGGGGTCACAAACCACTGCTCTCCTCTGCCTGGTTGGTGGGGGGGGGGCAGTGGAGGCCAGGAAGTGGAGGAGGCTGAGCTGATATTTGAGTGAGCATTGTTTTCACATGAGGTTTACATACAAGTAGTCCACCCTCCCTTTTCCCTTTGTAGAGATGGAAAAGAAGAATTTATTTTATTTGGAACTTTGGTTGCAAAAGCCTGTCATTGGGAAATGAATCTTTCCCTACCCCTTGCCCCACTCAACCTTAAAGAATGATTTTTTTTTTTAAATTTCTTTTTGTTTCCTGATAATCCTGAACAAATTCTGGGGGGAAAAAAGTTAAAAATGTCACCCCTCCCCTCTCTTTCTCTCTCTCTTTTTGACAAAACTGACCTGAAATCTTGGCTTCATCTGTCTTTGGCTGCCTGATGGTGCATATGCAGCCCGAGACTGTATGGAGTGGGTTTCTAAAACAATAGAAGCCCTTGTGCATGTGCTGTCCTGGCCTAACAGGGCCACAGGGTCCTGTTCCCCAGCTGCAAGGGATTGGTGGTAAAGGGTAAAGCTAGCTCTTGGTACTGGCTCCCCCAAGGGACAGAGCTGGGTCTGAAATAAGTCGTATATATTCTAGCTTAAGATTTGGTTTGTTTTATAACCTCCACCCCCAAGTAAAAGATGGCATGGTGTGATCTGGGGTGATGGTTTTCCATCTTGTTCAGCCATAGCACTTTACACAGGTGTTTCCCCAAGGCTAGGTGCATGCCAAGCTGCTCAGTCTGCTCCTTGGAATAAAAGGGGGTAACCAGAAAACATCTAGAGATTCCATTGTTACTGTTATCAATTATTATTAGTAGTAGTGGTTAGTAGTGTGGGGATGGAACCCAGGGCCTTGTGCAGGCTGGGCAAGTATTATATACCACTGAGTCATCTCCAGCTGGAACTCCAGAGAATTCTTTAAGTCCCTGACATTTCATGATTCCCTGTGAATGTTCTTCTATGACGAGAAAAAGACAGGGATATCCACATGTCGATGTCCTGGGAGAATAGAACACAGCAGGAGACTTAATCTCAGCAGAATGTACACGAGGCCCCAAATACACCTGGTATAATAGGTAGCATGCCAAAGCCAGGCAAACCTTGCTCCTGGCTTTGCAAATTCCTACTTCTCTGAGCTTCAGCTTCTTCCCTGTTAAAATGAAGAAGCTGTGAACATTAGATTGTATGAATTCAGGGCTTAATATATTGTGAAGAATCCACATAGGTTTTTTCTTTTACATATATATATATATATATATATATATATATATATATATATATATATATATATTAATAACAGTGTTGGGGATCAAACCCAGGGCCTCAGACATGGTAGGCGAGCACTCTACGACTGAGGTACACTTCCAGTCCCAAGTTATTTTTAAAAGCCAAGATTAAAAGGGCCGAATGGTAGTGGAATGTAGAACTGGCTTCTGTGAGCCCTAGGCCTCATTTGGGCTTGTAGTCAGGTGAGGGAAGGAATTTAGAGTCAAGTAGGGAAAAAAAAAAAAGCTTTGGAAAATGAGGAGGCAGAAAGGAAGGAGACCTAGGACCTCTTGTGGAGAAAACAGCTCAGATCAGCTGAATGAATAGTGTGGGGAGCCGCCGTGGTCCAGGAAAATGGGAAAAAATGGAAGATACCAACTCTGATTCTGGGGAATCCAGCTCAGAGCAAAGTTTGGCAGAAGCCAGGTTTATGACCCAGAAATCTGCAGAGAGAAGTTCTGGCCAAAAGAGGAAAAGGGGAACTGCAGGGGCCCCAAACTGGGAACCAATCCAAAGCCACCAGTCTGCCAGGCAAGAGAGGAACTTAGAGCAACAGCCGGTTAAGCACCTGATTAATGAATAAGCTGTTGGCTGGTCCAGGTAAGGGTGCACCTGTGATTTACCTAATCCTGCCAAAGCTGCACCCTGAGAAATCCACACACTCAAGTTGTTTTTTACTCAAGCTGCTCGCCCGAAACCTAGATGTGTCGAGTAGCCTTGGGGGAAGGGACTCCCAGGAATTTTTTTTTTTTAAATCATACTTTTTTGGAGCGGGGAGGTGGGGGTGTTGATCTTGCCCATGAACAGAAGTGGCCATGAAAACAAAAATCAGAATTGTTTTATAAATGTGAGAACTAAAGAAGCTGTCCTAGAGCCAAATGAGAACACAAGTGAATTGTCTGTCATATATTGTTATAGACTTGAGATTACCTTTCAGCCTGTGGACTTTCTGATTTAGTTAGGTTTTAATTTTTATTCATCTAACTTCTCAAACTTTATTTATTTGCATTGCTGGCAATCAAACTGGGGGCCTCATGCATGCTAGAGGGGCTCTCTATCAACTGAGCTCTATCCCTAGCTCTTTTTCAAACTTTTAATTGAAGCATAACACACATTCAGAAAAGTGCCACATCCTAAATGTATAGTTTGATCAATGTTTGCAAATTAAAAATGCTCATGCAACTAACACACTGATTAAGAAACATTAATTTTCAATTAATTTAAACATTACCAACATCCGGGGACCTACCTTCTCTGGCACCAGCTCTCATTTCACATGGAGCTTTAGGGTTTCATATGCCTGTATTATTCCCCCTTCCAACCCTGCTTTCTTTTGAAAAAAAAATTTTTTTTTTCAGTATTGGAGATTGAACCCAGGGTCTTGCACATGTGAGGCAAGTAGTCTACCACTGAGCTATATCCCTAGCCCACACATAATATTATAAAATTGTGTTATCATATATAAAACATATATTTTAACCATTTCGAGTGTGCAGCTTAGAGACATGTTACATCACATTGTAGTACAGCCATCACCCCCATCACAAATTCTTTGTCTTCCAGAACAAGCTCTGTGCCCATTAAGCTCTAACTCCCCATCCCCCTTCTCCCAGCCCTTGGCAATCACCATTGCCTGTCTCTATGAGTTGTCTACTCTTGGGAATCCTATTTGTCCTTCTGTGACCGACTTATGTCACTTAGCATAATATCCTCAAGATTCATCCAAGTTGTACTATGTTCCCTTTAAATACTTAGTGAATATTCCATTGCGTGTACATACTCATTTTTTATTTTTCCATTCATCTTTTGGTGGACATCCGAATAACTTCCACCTTTGGCTATTGGAAACAATGAATAAGGGTTTATCAGTGTGTCTTTGAAACCCTGATTTCAATTCTTTGGGGCATACACCCAGAAATAGAATTGCTGGATCATGTGACAATTTCATTTTTAACTTTTTTGAGGAAGAGCTGTGCTGGATTTCCACAACTAGTGTAAATAGTATTTTTTTTGTGTGTGTGTGTGTGCCACGTGGAGATAGAACCAAGGGCCTCAGGCATGCTCCACAAGTGCTCCACCACTGAATTACACCCCCATCTCTATTGATATAATTTTTAACAAGCATCTAGTGTTGTAAGAAGTTACAATTTACTCAGGTTTTGCTTGTGTATTTCACAGTACCTCTTATTGTTCCAGTCCCATTAGCAGCAGGGCAGCATTTTGTAAGATTATTGGCTGCAGTAGAACATTTCTTTTTAAAAGTTCAACCAAAACCTCTGCTGAGCACATTTGTGGAAATCATGCCAGTTCTGTGATTCTAGTCCCCCCTGGGGACCTGGCTCACGGCTCTGTTTTGAATGCTCTAATAAGTTTCATACTCTGTAGGTCCAGATACCTGGGGGAAGATGTCTTTGGAGTCCTCAAGTTGGGCCTATTCACATGGCAATATTCTTTCTGATTTTAAGACTCCTTCTGTAATTTTATGATAGAGTACTCAGATCAGCCGTTCAGTTATCTTGACGATAAACACTTTATCCGATAAGATAACTCTGCATTTCCACGCCTCCTCTAAACTGGCTATTCTAATGAACCTCTCCATCCACCACCACCCCATTGGAAAAAAAAATGCAGTTGAATCACCTATTTGTAGAGCCCCTGAAACCAGGATGGATCACATTCAATACTTTAAAAAAATCATTTTTGTAGATTGTTGAGAAAGAAATATGTTTCAGATGATCCTGTTTAGAGCTGTGTGTTAACCTCTAAGAGGCCTAGCTGAATTGTTGCAGTGAGTTCTAGCTAGGCTCAGGGCAGTAAGGGAAGTGTGTCCCAATGTGGTCTATTGGAGGGTGGTGACCACATAATAGCCATCATTTCCTCAGAGGAAGGAGTGCCCAGGAATAGAAATGAGGGCCTGGCGGTCTCACTGTCCCTCCCTAAGGCTGCCAGCCTATGATGGTGGAGAGGGAAGGTCTGTTTCCATGTTCTCTGGAATCTCAGGACGAGTGTGGGATAGGGAGAGCATGGTAAGGCAAAGCCAGGGGTCCTGGATATGAATCCCTCTTCTGACTTGTAGCAGAAATGTGACACTGAGCAATTCACCTTGTAAGGTGACATGTAGAAACAGTAACATATACAGAGATCTTAAGCTGTGTTTTATATGCATTTTTTAAATGCATAGATTCCCAGAAAGCTGTCAGGCCTCTGGGCTCATTTTGTTGGTTTGTGGTTCCAGACTGAAAGCAGATTTTGTCTGAATCCAAATTCACCCTGTGGATTTTGTTTTGAAAGCTTGCAGTCATTCAGAAGATGTTGCTAGATCGTGTGCAGGGATGGGGTGTGTCTATGTGTGCATGCGTGTGTGTGCATGTGTGTGTGCACGTGCATGGGTGACAACGGAAGCTGGTGCTTATGGTTTGCCTTAGTTTTCAGGGAGGGGAGCAAGATGCCCAGCAGAGGCAAGACAGGGTGCTTTCCCATGGCTAAGGAGTCAGTGTGTTTGAATGGTTGCTAGCTTTCTGTTACTGTGACAAATACTGGTGATAAGTTAACTTAAAAAGAAGAAAAGTTATTTGGACTCACAGTTTTAGCAATTTGAATCCATGATTGCTTATCCCATTGTCCAGGCCTGTGGGAGGCAGCACAACACGGTAGGGGCGGAGCCAAGCTGCTCACCTAATAAGGGGGGGGGGCATGGGAGATGGAGGTGTCAGGGTCCCAATACCCCATCAAGGGCACGCCCCAGGAACATAACTTCCTCCCGCTAGGCCCCACCTCCTAAGGTCTCCACCCACTCCCAGCAGCGCTTTAGGCTGGGACCCAAGGTTAAACACTGGAACCTCTGAGGGACTTCAGGAAACCACAGCAGTTTGGGATTCCAGAGGGAGCCCTGGGAATCTGATTAGACCTTGAAAGGAAATGACTGCTTGGTGTCCCCTGTGAGCAGAATGGGGCAAGGAGGAGGGGCCGACCTTCCTAAGGACCTGGGTGCAAAGGGGCTTCCTCAGGCAGCATCCACCAGAGCAGGATGTTGACAGTTGGGGTTGCTTCCTGTGTGGGATGGGTGGGGCGGGGCCTCTTCACAGCGACCTTAGTTTATCTTGGGGAGAGAGATTCAAATGCTCCCCAGGGACAGCAATGGAGATTTTCTGAGCAGATTCTGGGTCCACACCGTTATGCTTTGGCTGTCTGCACAGAGTGACAGAAAGTGGTTTCTTTGCGTCTGTGAGAGTCAGTCAGTTACAGGAAATTTGAACTTGCCTGTGTCCAGCTCTGTCAGGATCAGTGGAGATCTTTGACAGTCACAGTGCAGGACAATGTGAACCACATGTATCATTTCAAGTTTTTAAAAAGTAACTACAAGGGGCTGGGATTGTGGCTCAGCAGTAGAGCACTCACCTAGCACATGTGATGCCCTGGGTTTGATCCTCAGCATCACCTAAAATAAAAATAAATAAAATAAAGCTATTGTGTCCAACTACAACTAAAAAATAAATATAAAAAAAGTAACTACATTATAGCCGGGTGCAACAGCACATCCCTGTAATCCCAGTGGCTTGGGAGGCTGAGGCAGGAGGATCAGGAGTTCAAAGCCAGCCTCAGCAAAAGCGAGGCGCTAAGCAACACAGTGAGACCTGTCTCTAAAATAAAAATACAAAAAAAGGCCTGGGGATGTGGCTCAGTGATTGAGGGCCCCTGAGTTCAATCCCTGTATCCATACCCCCCCGAAAAAAAGTGACTACATTATAAAAAGTAAAAAATAAAGAGGCAAAGTGAATTTTTATATTTCATTTTACCTAATGTATTAAAACTGTGTCTTTGCAGCATGTAATCAATATGAAGTACCAAGAATCCAAAAATATATTAATATAAAAATATCCATAATATACTTTACTTTTTTTTTTTTTTTTTTCATTTAGATATTTGAAATCCGGGGTATATTTTATCCTTAGCTCATCTCAATTTGAACTAGCCATGTGCTCAGCGACCACCTGTGGCTCCGGATTACTGCGTACAACTACACTAGGGATTTCTTCTGGGCAGGCTTCTCTGTCCAGGGACATGCAGCAATGCTGCAGGCATTTTTAATAGTTATGCTGGGAGGGGTACTACTGGTAGCTCGTGGGTAGAGGCTGGAGTTGTTGCTAAACATCTTACAAGGCACAGGGAACAACAAAGAATACTCTGTTCTAAGGTACTGGTAGTGCCAAGTTTGAGAGACCTGGTTTAGGCCAAGCTCTCTCTTTCTCTATCCCCTGATGGTGTGGTTTGGATAAGTGTTCTCCAAAGGCCCATTTGTTAAAGGGTTGGTCCCCAGCCTGTGGAGTTGGTAGAACATTTAGGAGGTGGGGCTTATGGGAGGAATTTAGCTCATTGGAGGTGTGCCCTTGGGAGGGATGGCTGGACCCTCTTCACCTTTCTTTTTTTGCCTCCTGGTTGCTGAAGGGTGAGCAACTTGTAACACCACACACTGCCCACCATGATGTGCTTCCCAAGGAAATAGGACCATCCAATCATGGACTGAAACCTCTAAAACTGTGAGTCCAAATAAACCTTTTGTCTTTATAAGCTGATTATCTCAGGTATTTGTTACAGTAATGGAAGACTATCTAATGCACCAAACTATTTTTCTTTTATCTTTTCCCCCTCCCATAGTAGCAGAAATGAGGCACCAAGAGTTGGTTGGTAGGAGGACAGATGCTGGTACACAGGGCTCTTGATCTGGGTCCTAGGGAATCCCCAGCATCACAGATGGGAGGGTAGCAGGTATTCCCCATCCTTCCTCCAGCACAGCTCAGCAGAGGAATATAAATGTCAGGACACAAGCCACAATCCAGAAACCACCCCCACCTCCCATGAAGTTCCTCCACACAAGAGTTTCTTTTGTGTTTCATGAAAATTTAGGGAAAATTCATACACTTGTCAGAACCTGAGGACGGGTCCAAGAGACAAAGGAAATGCTGAACCCAGCAAGAATTCTGCAGCTGACCCTCGGCCAGCAGTGGAGGAGGTCTTCAAAGCATGGGGTGTCAGAGGGGAGCATCTTGCAATGAGATCGGGTTTCTTACACAACCACGAGAGGACCCTGAACAGTTCCTGAAAGTCTCATCAGTCAGTAAAAAGTACTTTACACTGAGCAGAAGCCACAGCTTAAAGGTACAAGGACTAACTGTGGTGACTTCTCCTTAGTCTCCTGAGGGGCTCTTTTTATCCCCAGTAGATACAGACGTGGAAAGACACTGGCCAGGGAATGAGTGGTCGAAGAATAAATGAACTGCACAGAGAAGCTGAAGCCAGAAGCTGACCTTTGTTCTTTGTTTCATTGTTAAACCACCCAATTGTTTTATAGTTGTTCTTTGCTGACCCTTGGCCTCCTTGGCTGGTGGTGTCACCTCCCTCCTTTCTCCTATCCAGCCCCATTCTGCATTCCTGAATTTATTTGTGGGTGGATTCACTCCACCTTGGAAATGGGGTGACACCCTTGCTCCTTGGGTGTAGCCTTGGGACTACCTGCAAAAAAAAAAAACCAAACAAAAAAAACCCTTCCTTTTCCTGTGTCCCACACTCCTGGCACTTCCTGAATCGGTGACCTCTGGGCCCTTCTTGAGCCTGTCCAACCTCTACAGGGAGAAGGGTTCCTTTCTGCACGTTTCTGCTGATCCCGAGTCCTGCAGCCTACGCTGACACAGATTTCACACACATGGAGAGACTCCGTTAGTTGGCAAACCGTAGGCGATCATTTATTCACTTCTCGGCTTGTAATCTATTTGTGACTGTGGCTTATTTTTGCCCATTTTTATGTGTTTTTTTTTTTTCCATTCGTTGGCTTAACAGGGGATGAGCAAACAGAACTCAAACAAGCACCATCCATTTTGTCATTAGGACATGTGAAAGGCAGAGTTGGGGAGGAGGTGGGAGCTCCTGGAACATGAGACTAGAGGAGAAGCTGTGGGCTGTCACGCACGGCTGAGACTCCACTCGGTCTGCGTAATCGTGGGCTGAGAGCCAGACTTCTGGCCCCCAAAGATGTCCAGATGTCAAGGATTGAGAGGCACCTGGGAATCCCCAGCCCTCTGATCCGGGAGGGCAGCCGGGACCCTTCTCCCCTTGGTCACCCTGGTTTTCCCAGGCTGTTGTGGGAGATGGATCTGCCTTGCTCCACTGGGTGTGCTGGGTATCTGCTTAACGGCCCCCCAGACAACAGTCTCGGCCCTTGGAAGTGGAAAGTACGGTGCCTGAAAGCTGAGAACCAGAGACTTCTCTTAGAAAAGAGGGAGCGCACCCTGCACCTGACCTGAAGCTGGATGGGTCTCCTCGGTGTCCTCCAGCAGTGGGCACACACCTTTGGTCATAGTAAGAGCCGGATACGAGGTGACAACCACAGCAGCCACTGAGTGTGTTCATGGGGGGGACCTGTCCCCCAGAGCGGCCTGGTCCAAGCACAGGACCGTTCCCTACACCAACGAATTACAGATGAAGTCCTTTGTTGATGGGGAGAGCTGCGTCTTCAGGGAGCTGAGGGGTAGCTTGAAAAAACTGGTTTCCTTTCCGCTTCCTGCTCTTGTCATTATTTTACTTATAAAGCAATATATTCAATGTCCTTTTAAGTTAGACAAAGCCCAGAGTTGAAGGATCTGTTTCAAGGTGCAGTGGGTTTTCTCAGATCACTCGGGAGGGCGCTGTGGAGTCTCGCAGGCTCCTGGCTCTCAGCTCAGCAGCAGCCCTGCGCTGCGTGAGGAGGGGGCAGCTGCGCATCGGCTCAGCCTCTGCGGCTCGGCTCAGCTCAGCAGGGCCGTGAACTGAGAAGCAGAGGAGGCTTCCCTGCTGCCGTGCAGCTGAGGTGCACCCCCCTCCCACCCCATGCAGGTAGCTCCTGCAGCTGGACCGCCGGGTGACCTGCTATGCAACGTGGCCTGGTCAGACGCCAGGACCCTGCCGACCCCCGCGTGCAAACACCGCGGTCCACGGGGAGGAAGCGCCCAGGGCCCAGTTCTGCAGGCGTGTTTACTGATCCAGCACATCGCCTTAGCTGGATCTGAACGAAAACATTTTTGGACGAGGATGAACATTACAGATGCTTTCATGAAACCACTTCGGAGCCCATTTGGCCCAGCTTCTCCACGGGACACGGGGCTCCTCCAGTGGCTGTAGGAGGGCGGTGTGCTCCTGGCGTGGAACTGAGGCCAAGCATGTCATCTGGGAACCACATCTGGCTCTTTCTGCACCATCCTCGGTCCCTGTTGCTTGTGTTTTGATTCTGAGAGCTGATTCCGTGTTTTGGCCGAGGGTGCAAAAGCCATTTTTAGTGGGCACAAAAGAAAACCTGATGTTCTGACTGCCCTTATTTGTCTGGACTTTTTTTCCTAACACAGCTTCAAAACTTTGGGAGCCCAGAAACTTCTAGGAAGACAGACCGGGGTGGGGGTGGGGGGGCTTTAATGACACGCGAACGGATCTTAAAACCATCCATCTTGCAGCTTGTCTATGTTTGAGGACTGAGTGTGAAGCCTGGGACATAAAAACCAATCTGCGCAGCCGACTCGGGCCGCCAGGGCTGCAGCCAGCGCCCCGCCGCCACCGCTCCCCCCCCCCCCCCCCCCCCCGCCGGCCTTTTGGAATGGCGTCTGCTGAGCCCTGGCGCTGGCTGCGGCTCCTGCAAACCATCACTGCTCACTTTTGCACGCCTCACATCATCTACCGAAAAGAAAACACACTCAGGCGCTGGCGCTTGCCTCTCTGTCCTTCTGTGGCAATTCTCTCTGAGTGTCCTCTCCCCCGCCCCAGCCCAGAAGGGTGGCCAGGGAAAGCCTGAGCGCCAGATGTAAGGGGGGAGGGGTGGGGGCTGCAGTGTCCTCTGTCATCCTACCCGGCTGCCCTCGCCCTCTGCCCTCTTTCCTTGGCACTTATCTCAGTTCCTGACAGATTTCCACACGCAGGGACTAGATTCTGGCCCTCAGAGCGTGGCTGCTTCGGAGGGGGAAGGGCATGTGCTGATGAGGTTGGGCCTGGGGACCCAGGAGACTCCCTCTGCCAGGAGCCTCTCTGCCAGCTTCTGGGAGCCCCCCTTCCTCACAGGCTCCAGAGATGCACAGAGCAGCCTCCCCACCCTTCACCTTCCCCCTCCATTAGGAAAGCGGCTTGTTTGCCTTCCTCTTTCAACACTTGGACATTTATCACACACCCAGGAGAGTTCAGAGGACCTTGGAGCTCCCCCTGGTTAGGACATGGGGGAGACGAAGAATTACGACGTCACTGCTCCCCAGAGGTGGTGGTGCAACTCGGAAATGCAATCCCACATAAAAAGGTCTCCATGGATCTATATGTGACCGGTTTGTAAAAGCGCTCAGAGGGATCTGGGCATTAGGCATAGATAAACCCAGGCCGGGTGTAAACAGTTGGGGGGAGGCAGATGGGGTCCTGCAGGAGGAGGGAGCCCTCCGCCCACCTCCCTGGCAGGTGAGAGACTCTGTTGGGGCCTGGAACCAGGAATGAAACAAGCCTTCCCCTCACCCTGTTTCCAGACCTTTCTCAGCAAGGGCTGGACGTGAACACAATTCACACTCCAGACTTCTTGAACAGCAGTCTGTATTTTACTGAAAAAGTTCTCTAAGGACGTGAAGGGTGAAAGTTTGGGTGTCATGTGGATCAACATGGTGGAAACTTCTGGAAAAAAAAAATCCCCTTACTCATTTGTGTCTCCAGTTCTCTGCCTCCTGGAGACTGCTTAGAATCCCCCTCACCCCCACCCTACCTGGAGACTGAGACACAACAATCACAAGTTCAAGACCAGCCTGGGCAATTTAGCAAGACTCTGTCTCAAAATAAGTTGGAAAGATCTGGGAACTCAAAGACCCGTCAATGGTCAGCTCATTTTGCTTGGTACAAAAAGTTCAAACTGTCCATTCCCTTAAGGATGGTCTCTCTTACCACCAGCCTCTCCTCCACTTCCTCCTCCATCTCCAATAAAACCCAGAGCCCTCCCTGGGCCCCACTCAGGTGCTTCCCCTGCCGACTGTCACTCATCAGATTCCTCTTTCAGCCCCCTCTCCTTCTCCTTCCCTTTCTCTGTCTCTGTTAAAGATCCCTGCTCCCACCTCCAGACCCTCACTGCAGGAAGGTCAGCTCCTGAGTGCCCACCTGCACAAGGACTCACTCAGATTTACATGGGACTGTCAAAGACTTTCCTGACACTGAAAATAGGGATGTGTTTAGTCATGAATTCAGTCTGGTCCTCCAGGCTGTTCTCCTGGGCTTTCTGATTTATACCAACTTTTGCAGGTGTCTGTGCACCAGACATACCATTTTATGTTTCAATAAAGCCAAATAGGCTACTCTTCATGAAGACTTTCAAAGAAAGCAGGACATCCCTGATGCTTATAGACTAAAACCTTAGAGGAAAGACTTTGGAATCCATTCCCTCTGTTTCCTTTCAAAAACAGATTGGCCAAAGGCATGGCATTTCAGTCCACAAAGAGAGAAATCTGCCTGTAACTGTAGATGTGGATTAGAGGGCATTAAGTAGAGTGACTCTGGTCTTGGCTCTTGGTGACTGAGTTACTCTGTTTCTGTTACTGTTTTAGTTTGCTTTCTGTTACTATAGCATGATCACAGAGACTGGGTGAATTATAAGCAAAAGAAGTTTATTTGGATCAGGATTAGGTGACTTATGATGTTCGAGAGGATGATGTTGGCATCTAGTAAGGGCCTTTCTACTGCATCTATCTGGCTAAAGACACAGAGAGAGGAACTGTGGTTGAACTCAACCTTTGTATCAGTCACAAGATAACAAACCCAGGCCTGTGATATCAGCATTAAGACATTCATGATTCCTCTTGAGATGCTCACTCCACTGACACAGGCTCAGTCTGGAAGGCTGAACCTCTCGGTGTTGAAATAGAACTTTCTGTGCCACTCCCAACATTACCATAATATCCTCTAGAGCAAGGATCCTCTGAAGTATCCAGCCTATAATTCAAGGTCTCCTTGGCGACGATGAGCTCTTAGCTCCCATCTTTAGTTCCAGTGATAATCTCATCCTCTGAATAAAGAAGCCAAATAGGTTGCCAGCTAATCCAAGACTTGTGAGCAATAAGCAAAATAGTCAATCCCAAGTGTCCTCCACCTGTGGAGGACCTCCACACCATCTGGCCTCTGTCCACCCCTCCTGCAGTCATCAACCACCCACGCTGGGTTTCTCTTAGCAAACCTCCAACCCCCAGGCACAATACCCCTTTGCCTTCCCATGGATAGGTCAGCAATGCATGGGGACCATCATGCCTCAGGGGTTTACTGAGGTCCCTACTGACTTTTCTCTAGGACACCAAATGCAGACCTGAGAGATCTAACCTTCCTCGGCAACTCTGTCCTCATCCAGTGTGTAGGTGACATTTTTCTGTGTACGTCCGATCTTGGCAGCTCAGTTATCACCACCTGCTATTTACTCCGTGCATTTGCCCACAGGGGACATCAGTTCACTAAAACCAAGGCGCAGTGATGGGGTCCTCAAGTTGCAACCCCAGGGGCGAGCTATCTCCTGTGAAAGGAAGAGCTCATTCTCTGCAGAATCAACACCATCGTTGATTTTCCTCTTCCTAAGAGTAAATGCTGCTGTCAGATGAGTCCCAACCACTGCTGGCTCGGTAGGAGTGATCCACTCCATCTGTACACTCACTCCATGAAGTTCAGAGCCTGCTGCTCACTAGAGAATACCCAGCACCCGTTCCCACACTCGTCTCCTGCAAAATCACACCACTGCCTCCCTCTTGCACCACCATCTGTGGCTCCAAAAATCTCAATTCAGCCACCCTCCCTCCCTCTCCTTTGAGGGTCGACCTCAGGACTGCTTCAACACCAGGCCATCTCTAGCCCTTCCACACCAGGACACCACTAAAACGGCTCTCCGAGGCCCTCAATTTATATTCTGTGGCTGGTTCTCCCCTTGAGTTACAAGTGAGAAGTTTCAATGGTGCTTACTTCAAGCTAAAAATGAGAAATTTCAATGATCAGATTGCCATCACCTCACTGAGTTCCAGTCCATACCTGAGGTTAATTTGACCCAAGTGTTTGAACCGATGGCCCTCGCCTGAGCTTCCACACTAGCATGAGATAAGAGACCCAGTGTTCACGGATAGCCAATATGCTGTGGGGATTGTGCACCATTCTGCTATGGACAGAGGCCTCATGACAGCTGCAGGGACACTCATCAAAAAAAGGAACCCGTACTGGGCAATGATATCGGTCAAATTACATTTTATATTGAGTGCATGGAATGAATAAGTAACAACAAATCCCACCACTGTGTACAACTCTAATGCAAATTGCTAACCTAAGACAGTCTTTGCTGCTGCCCACTGAACTGTTCCCAAATCTGTTATCACTCTAGTACTCAGACCTCCAAAGTGAGAGGAAACTCCTTGTCTGACAGGAAGACAGCTGCTTCCCAAGAAAACCCTTCCTGATGGCCTGCAGAACCTCCTTCAGTGACAGAAACTCTGCTCCAGAAACTTCAGGCACAACAACTGCTATCTCGTGAGCCTGGTAAAAGTAACTGGAAAC